TGCTTTGAAACAAACGATTTCGATTCCTTTGCGTATAACAGTACCAAATTGCTATCAAAATGAATGAATGAATCGTAGATGGATTGTTGTCCCAGTGGGGACCGGAGTCATCAAGTTTCAGCTCGGGAGTAGCGCCGCTTACCTTTGCTTTCCAGAAGGGATGAAGTTTCCTGTCTCCTTTTGTTTTTTGGTTTATTTGCTTTTTTAACTAAAATTCGCATTGCTTTGCTAGAATGCTTCATCGGCCGGCTTAGCTTTGCTTTGAATAGTTTGATTTTCGCATCTTTCCGAACAGAATTTGGATTTTCCTCATTTCTTCCTTACTTCATCCCTTCTCTCTCCTTTTCCCGTGGCATCGCCTCCTCTCAGTTCCCAAATGAATTTTACCTGTGCACTTTGTTCAAAAGGAAGATAGTCGGGTTTTTTCTTGTAGCCCGTGATTTTGGTGAGTCTTTCAGGTGTACGGTATGCTCAGTTACAGTGTGATGGATATGCTGCTGAGTGGCGCGTCGGTAGCATTGCTGCTCCTTGTGCTGTCCTCCTGTCATCGCAGCTTGCTGGATGTGCAGGTGGAGACGCAGTCGGGGTTGTTGGGAGGCATAGGTCTCGCTCTTATCGCCACATCGATGATTAAATTTTTCGCCTGGACAACCGAATTATACTTTTTACGTTCCATCGGCAATATGGCCCGATACACTTTTATCCATTACACAACCGACGAGCCGCTCTGGATCGCACTGAACGTTGCCCTCGGTACGTATTTCTTATCAATTGCTACATTTTTTTTAACAAAAAATGCATTGTAAACCATTGTTTTTCTCGGCCGTTCTATATGCTTACCAGCTTGTTGGTTGCTGAATTTGTATGTGTGAAGCCTTAAAAGACCTTAAGTCCTTGTCCGACCTTCCTTCCTCACAAATCTGGTTAAATAGCAATTTTAATTTCTTCTAGTTTTTTCTTTCGTGGTCATTTATTGTCGGAACTTTGCATTATTAAGGCTCGCGCTGAAAGTTAATCTGTGGTTCATTATGGTTGTGTATAATCATCGAATGCGTCATTTTACTGTTTGGCGCGTTCCCCCATGGGATTTCAGCTACCGGTAGCGTCGAATTCAGCATTTTTTCCACATCCACTATATGTGGGAAACATAGGCACTCAGAAGTGGAACAGATAGCGCAACGAGCCAACAACAACTACTTCACTTGCTGGCAAAGCTATTGCTGGCTATTTTTGCTTCCGAAGACTGTTGACAGACAAGCTTATGGCAATTCTGACTTCCTGACTGTTCCTCAATATCAGTTTATTCTCGCGGCGAAAGAACGATTAGCAGAAATAGTACTCTTTTAGCCTCATACGATTATCGCACGAAAAACACTTGGTCCTTACCAGCACGGTTTTGTTTACCAAACCTATGGGTGTTTTTGGTGAGAGCAGTGCATAGTAGTCATTATTTGAGCATGTTTTCGTCGAATCATTTTTTCACTCGTTTTTTGAAGGTGAAAGTCCGAAATTCTTACTAAAATTTTTATTAAGTCTTGTTCTAATTCATTATGTGAAGCAATCAGCCTTGGCTTTTTCTTGGCCCGGAATTGCTTTCGAGGAAGAAATCCTTTGCTTCGAGTGCAAATGATACCGCGTGCTGAATGCATTACGAATCTAACTCATTGTTAGCTTTTTTTTACAAGCTGCCATCCAAAGATGTGTAACAAAGATCAGCAATACATATTCTCTGAGAGAAGAATTCAGACTTTTCTGTCATCTTTTTTTATGAATTAGCGCAGAAACAAATTCATTTCTAGGCATTCTGTGCATTCTTCGGGTACAGGCGAATTCACCGATTAGAATTATTACTCTTTGTCTTTCGGCTTCGAGTATTCATCCGACCATAACTTACTTATGGGTGGATTATCGATGGTTCTCGAATTTCGTGGTAAGCAGATTGTCTGTTATAAGCAATCTAGCGTATTGGTGCTACATGTCTGTGAGTAAATGCTAGTAAAAAGTTTTTTTTACGCAAAAAACAGCACAAGTATGAAATTTGCTAGTCCTAGGCATGTGTCGCATAACGAATGGACAGTTAGTATTTCTGCCTAGCTGCAATACAAACGAATAAGAGAGATTGCACGAAAAAGAACCAGATACGTACTTGGAGCGCAGAACATCACGGAAGACACTCTGACAGATTAGTTCATCAGATATTGCAGCTTTGAGCATACAATATCGCTGAGGGGCTTGCCGAGTGCTCAAATGGCACAAAGGTGTGCTCCTAAGAATGATGTTCACTGATTATAATCGAGCCTAATCCAGTTTCTTTCGCGCCGTTCTGCTGCATATACTAGTCCTGACTGTCCTCTCAGTTCTGCCGAGCAATCGAGCATTTTGCTGCATTTTGCGGTGAAACTAAATATGTTGAAGTGATTCTGCAAATTAACAAAAGCCAATGTAGGTTTCCAAAGCAACGTTCGTGAAATGGGTGCCCGACTGGTTAGCAGTTCTCAATTTGAGTGCTGGAATCATACATCTGATATTGCTGATCATTCTAACGCTGAAACTTGTCGGTTCATTCACGCAGCCGCTCCTGATGAGTTTCTCTTCCGGCTTCAGGATGTTTCTCTTCGTCTCAGGTAAAATCCTCCGTGCTACTTTCCCACTGTTCAATTTATGTAGAAGTAATGCTAATGTACTCGTCCGATAGCTGACGGGTTTGATGCGGTGAAAAGTATCGCTGCTTCCGTGCAGGACGAATAAATAGCTAATGCCTTTACGATTGCTCGCTCCTTAGATGTTAAATAGGTAATGGAGCATGTCAGAGAGTCAAATCCGCATCATCTTACT